TATATGAAATGTGCATGTCGATGATGATGGTTTTCTATGGTGTTTTATACAATGATTTAAGATTGGATGATATGATGTTTTGCTATGTTGGGACAGGGGTTACATGGTAATGTCAGTATGACGTGATATTTGATGCATAATGTTTAAACAGTGAGTTATGATCAAGAGACTGGGTGATGGTCCTTATGTTGTGATGTATGAATTCTTTGAGTTTGAGATGATGAATGTGATATGACATGTGGTGATGAATGGATGTTTATTTGACTGAATAAGATATATCATATCGGATGTATCTTGACAGTTAAGTTAAGCCAGTAAGGTCTGAGAAGGGAAAAAATCCCACTGTACACATGTTTTTAAAAAAAATTCTCAAAATACACATGTTATGAAAAAAATTCCCAATCTACACATGTTTGGGCCTTCACCGCGTCAAACTAAGGCGGTGAAGGCATCACCGCGTTAAACAAGAGCGGTGATTGCATCACCGCGTTAGAGAAAAACGGTGATTGCATCACCGCTGTAGACAAAAACGGTGATAGCTTCACCGCATTCAACGGCCGCGGTGAAGGCCTGACCTGCGTCGAATCTTTAAGAGAACGTAACTTTGTGCTCGGTTATCCGATCGTGGTGAAATTTTTTTTGATTCCGCATAATTTTTCGAGATCTTGCAAGCCGCCTTCGTCCCTGAAAAACGTCGTTTGCTACCCCGAACGAGCCTTTTTTCGATTTCGTCAAACTTTGAACGACCATAACTTTGTGCTCCACAATCCGAAAATCATGAATTTTTTTTTGATTTTGCATAACTTTTTGAGGACTACAATTTTTATCATAGACATAATTTCGGAATGTACTTGGATTCCTGAAAAGGGAAGGTAAACTTATTCCCAAAGCCCCGTATATCCAAAATAATTCATTTTTTGAAAATTCTCTCCTACTAAAAATTGTAGTCCTCAAAAAGTTATGCAAAATCAAAAAAAAAATTCATGATTTTCGGATTGTGGAGCACAAAGTTATGGTCGTTCAAAGTTTGACGAAATCAAAAAAAGGCTCGTTCGGGGTAGCAAACGACGTTTTTTCGGGACGAAGGCGGGACCAAAAGGCTTGTTTTGCGGCTTGCAAGATCTCGAAAAATTATGCGGAATCAAAAAAAATTTCACCACGATCGGATAACCGAGCATAAAGTTACGTTTTTTTTAAAGATTTGACGCAGGTCAGGCCTTCACCGTTTTCCTCTAACACGGTGATGCAATCACCGCCTGCCTCTATAGCGGTGATGTAGTCACCATTTTCATTTAACGCGGTGATGCAATCACCGTGTTTCTCTAACGCGGTGAAGCAATCACCGCCTTAGTCTGACGCGGTGAAGGGCCAAACATGCGTAGATTGGGAAATATTTTCATAACGTGTGTATTTTGAGAATTTTTTTAAAAAACATGTGTACAGTGGGATTTTTTCCGTCTGAGAAGTGGGTGACGGGAAACTGAATACTCCATGTTTTGCCATGGTCAATAAGAGGGACAATAAGTCATTTTGAACTATACTCTTAAAGGTAACAGAAAAGATATAAATCATTATCTTATGAGTAAGGTTATCAGGCGAGTATAACTGGTTACTAAAAATACTAATAGTAATATATGTATTAGGGTGTCACATTAAGTAAGGATTAAAATAGTTATTTACATACCAACCATCATATATCCAATAGTTTAAGATTCGTTTACAAATTTTGCTTGACTTAGGTGTTATTCATCTGAATATGACTCAAAGTTGCACATCTACACTCATGTAGGAAAAAGAAAGGAACTGTCAAACAATAAAAAGAGAAAAGAAAGGAATTATAATTACATTAGGAAAAAGTAAAGACAATGTGTTTTATAATTGTGCATGAAAGAATATTTAATAATGTACGAAAAATGAAAAGAGAAAGAAGTTGGTAACATAAAAGAAAAGATAATGATATTTTAATATGCAAGAAATGCCAATTTCAACCCTAAAAATGACAAATGCATTATGTATATGTACATGACTGTTTTTATAACTTCTTTCACCAATTGGTCACAAACATATTTAAACCATATGACCATAATTCAGTTTTGAAAAATATACAACAAACTTTGGTGACCATTGGTGTCTAGTGATATTCTTAAACACATGAAATTTTGTCTATATATCACTGTAGCATATGAATGAACTATGTTGATATATTTCAGATATTTATAGTACTATTTTCTAACAAATTGCAACATAACTACATTGGTTCACATATTTATAGTAGTTTGTACAATCAAAATGTTAAATTCTTCGTGTTCTAGAAGACGGAAGAAGATTATACTTTACTTTTCATATTTCAATTTTAAAATAAAATCACATGTCAAATTATGTAAAAGTTTACAATTGTGTACCAACTAAATTTATATTTTTCGGATTTTTTTAATTATTTTTAAGAAATTATAAACAATTATAAAAATATATTATAAACTAAAAATAATTTATTTGTAGATGTTAATGATTTTATTATCAATGCTAAAAAATAGATTACACAATTGTAACCGTGATAGCTATTCTATTGGTTAAAAAATAGTTGACATCGGTTAGGGTATGATCCGCAATGGATTTATAGGACACCCGTCTAGGTACGATCTGTGGTATGCATGTCATCTACTATACTACCCGAGGAGTGTATGACTTGGCAAATTAAGATGTAAAATGCAATGAACCTAACCATGCATGTGATTGAATCATTGTATAAATATTACTTATGATGTGGTTAAGTGATGAGTCTCTATGATGTGATATATGAAATGTGCATGTCGATGATGATGGTTTTCTATGGTGTTTTATACAATGATTTAAGATTAGATGATATGATGTTTTGCTATGTTGGGACAGGGGTTACATGGTAATGTGAGTATGATGTGATATTTGATGCATACATGTTTAAACAGTGAGTTATCAAGAGACTGGGTGATGGTCCTTATGTTGTGATGTATGAATTCTTTGAGTTTGAGATGATGAATGTGATATGACATGTGGTGATGAATGGATGTTTATTTGACTGAATAAGATATATCATATCGGATGTATCTTGACAGTTAAGTTAAGCCAGTAAGGCCTGAGAAGTGGGTGACGGGAAACTGAATACTCCATGTTTTGCCATGGTCAATGAGAGGGACAATAAGTCATTTTGAACTATACTCTTAAAGGTAACAGAAAAGATATAAATCATTATCTTATGAGTAAGGTTATCAGGCGAGTATAACTGGTTACTGAAAATACTAATAGTAATATATGTATTAGGGTGTCTCATTAAGTAAGGATTAAAATAGTTATTTACATATCAACCATCATATATCCAATAGTTTAAGATTCGTTTACAAATCTTGCTTGACTTAGGTGTTATTCATCTGAATATGACTCAAAGTTGCACATCTACACTCATGTAGGAAAAAGAAAGGAACTTACGTCAAACAATAAAAAGAGAAAATAAAGGAATTATAATTACATTAGGAAAAAGTAAAGACAATGTGTTTTATAATTATGCATGAAAAAATATTTAATAACGTACGAAAAATGAAAAGAGAAAGAAGTTGGTAACATAAAAGAAAAGATAATGATATTTTAATATGCAAGAAATGCCAATTTCAATCCTAAAAATGACAAATGCATTATGTATATGTACATGACTTTTTTTATAACTTCTTTCACCAATTGGTCACAAACATATTTAAACCATATGACCATAATTCAGTTTTGAAAAATATACAAAAAACTTTGGTGATCATTGGTGTCTAGTGATATTCTTAAACACATGAAATTTTGTCTATATATCACTGTAGCATATGAATGAACTATGTTGATATATTTCAGATATTTATAGTAAGTATTTATATTAGTATTTTTTAACAAATTGCAACATAACTACATTAGTTCACATATTTATAGTAGTTCGTACAAACAAAATTTTAAATTCTTCGTGTTCTAGAAGACGGAAGAAGATTATACTTTACTTTTCATATTTCAATTTTAAAAGAAAATCACATGTCAAATTATGTAAAAGTTTACAATTGTGTACCAACTAAATTTATGTTTTTCGGATTTTTTAATTATTTTTAAGAAATTATAAACAATTATGAAAAATATTATAAACTAAAATAATTTATTTGTGGATGTTAATGATTTTATTATCAATGCTAAAAAATAGATTACACAATTGTAACCGTGATAGCTATTCTATTGGTTAAAAAATAGTTGTGATTAATTGCATGAAAGATATTTTATTCTATTGGTTAAAAAATTGAAATTGTTATAGTTTGAGCTTCTAGGTTGCATGATTAAATCATAGTCATGATGATTGATATACATGTTTTGCTGTGGTTAGTAGCATCAAATATACTTTATCATGGTGGTTGAACATTTGAAATGATGATAGTTTGACCTCATAGGTCATAGGTTCAAATCTTGGTAATGATGATTAATATGCATGTTTATTTAGTTTTATTTTAATGTAACTAATAACGTAAAATGTTAAAACAGGCTGGGCAAAAAGAAAAGAGGGGATTTTTTGTACTATGGGTCTAAAAATGTCTTATTAAAAAGTAGAAGAACTGTTAAAAAAGCTAGGGTTGCTCCGCAATTCTCAGAGAGGCCTCGCCGCCGCCCGATGGGGTGCAGGGGGCTCAAACCCGATGGAAACTATGACGGGTCAACGCCGACCGCCATCAGCAAAGTCGTCTCCAAACCCTAAGGGGGATAGGGAGGCTCAACAAAGTAAGAAAAGAGTGAAGTAGACTATCCAGGAACCACAGAGCTTCGTCGATTCCGACGTACAGTTTGAAGACGTTAATAACGGGGCGGAGAAAAGTACCCATCACCGTGAGCAGCGCCCTCCGCAAAATGCTTGGGGATCAGGGGTGGGTGCTGCCCGGCGCCTGTTTGGAGATATGCAACGGCTGGATCCTTGGTACATAGCCGACTCGGACTCTGAGGACATAGCGGCAGGGATGCGGGAAGATGGCAGGGATGAGGGGTTCGAAGCGGATGAAGATCCTCTGTGCCCTAATATCCACTTCTCATCAGCTGAAGAAAGGCAGTTCTGTAGGGAATGGCGCTCCGCACTGGTCGTCAAAGCCCTAGGTCGATCTGTGTCGTATACGGGTATCTCGAAGCGGCTGAATGATCTTTGGGCTAGGGCTGGAGGAATACAAGTCTCGTCAGTCAAGAATGGGTACTTCTTGGTTCGTTTCACGAGCGGGATTGACTACGAGCGTGCTTTAACGGGTGGTCCGTGGATGATGGGGGACAACTATCTTATGGTCCACATGTGGGACAAACACTTCCGACCCTATAACCATGATATATCGTCCACCCTTGTCTGGGCATGTCTACTGGATATACCCATTCACTTTTTTCACAAGGAGGCGGTTATGAAAATCGGCAGCCGGATAGGGAAACCACTGTGCGTGGACCAAGCCACTGCTACAGGGGCTCGCCTGGACTATGCCCGGGTGTGTGTACAAGTGGACTTAACTAAACCACTTCTGTCCCAGTTCAAAATCCACGGAGTGACCTACTTCATTCAATATGAGGGACTTGAAAAGATCTGCCTTAACTGTGGGAAATACTTCGAGCGCTCGAAGTGTTATTGCACGTCCTCTCCTGACTAGATGGATACTGAGACCCCTATCCCGCAGGAAACATCACCAGCAAAGGAACCCGAGAGAACGTATGGTGAGTGGATGATTGCTAAGCGCAAACCCAGAACGATTCGTAAGGAGACACCGGGCCAAGCTTTGAAAATTACCACGAATGCAAGTCAGGGGAATAAGGCAAAGGCAGGCTCACGGTTCAGTGTACTAGCGAATGAGGAAGTCCAGGTTCCCATGGATAAAACCCCTGAGTGAAGCAATGGGGAGGAAATATCAGGTCGGGGGAAGGAACATGCGAACCTGAACAGTAAGAGCTCGGGAAAAGGTAAACAGAAAGCGAGGGAGGAGGATGCTACTGGTCCGGTGCATGGTACAACCGAACCTGTTGTGGCCATGCAAGTTACGTCAGGGATGTCAACACCACGGCTGGACAAAAGGACAGGAGCTACGTGTGAAGAATTGAGTTTACCATAGGCACGGCCAGCGGAGAATGAATCGACCGTAGACATGCTGACCGAGCAAGTCACACCAACGGATGAGAACAGCCAAACTCTAACCTCGGCTGCATGGGGTCGTCCTCCGAACTTGCTTGGAGGGCCGACGGAGGGAGGAACTCACACCCAATCAGAAACAGTGACGGCAAACGTGGGGATCTCGTTGGAAGGGGCCACCCCGATAATGGATCCACAAAAGGGAATCTCTTCTTCCCACCTCTCTTAATGGATCCACGCATCTTTGTTTGGAACTGCAGGGGGGCCGGGAGCAGGAAATTCATCCGAGTGTTCAAGGAGTACAAGAGGAAACATAATCCTAACATAGTGATCATTGTAGAACCTCGCATTAGTGGGGTCACCGCACAGAATGTTATTAAAGAAATGGGGTTTGACAAACAGTTAGTAGTCGATGCTGTGGAATTCTCTGGTGGTATTTGGCTTCTGTGGAATGAGGCGGAGTTTGATATTAGCCGGGTAGATAGCCAGGCCCAATTCATCCACGTGCTGGCTACTAAAACAGGGAAACCGGATGACAAGTGGAACCTCACGGCAGTGTATGCTAACCCGGCACCGATTCAACGCCGACAGCTCTGGGTGGCGCTGAGGAGAATTGCCGAGAGCCAAGAGCTGCCGTGGATAGTCATGGGTGATTTTAACTCAATTCTTCACCGATCGGAAAAGCTGGGGGAGCTCCGTTTGATGCGAGCCGAATTCGGGACTTCCAGGACAGTGTGAATGACGTGGGGCTTGTGGACTTGGGGTTTCACAAACCATCATATATTTGGTTCAGAAACGGGGTCCGTGAGAGATTAGACCGAGTGCTAGCCAACAACAGGTGGACAATGACCTGCCCGGAAATCTCAGTGCGCCATCTTCCCAGAGTTAAATCCGACCACAGACCTTTGCTGGTCTCCACGAGATACTCTCCCCGGCCAGGAGGGCCTAAACCTTTCCGTTTCCTCGTGGCATGGCTAACACAGGAAGACTTTAAAAACATGCTCCAAGCAGCATGGGCTAAGGGCAATTCGTTCCTCCAGTCAGCGGAGGCATTTGCTAGCGATGCTATCCGATGGAACACTCACGTTTTTGGCCACATCCTGCGGTGGAAAGATGCTCTCATCCGCAGGATAGAGAGGCTGGAGTACCGAGATGGCAGTGCTCATGTGTCCTCCCAGCTAGAGATGGCGAGAGAGGAACTCGAGATGGTCTTATTTCAAGAGGAACTCCTTTGGTGCCAAAAGTCTCGACTGGAGTGGATCTCGTCGGGCGATAAGAACACGTCCTATTTCCACGCTAGGACGATTGCACGAAGAAAGAGGAACCGCGTCTTAACGCTGAAGAATTCGGACGGGGAGTGGGTGGATGATGAAATGGAACTTCACCAGCTGGCCAGGTCCTTCTTCGAGTGGCTGTACACGGATGAGAATGAAGTCGCTGTCCCTCTGCCTCGGGATTTCCCAGAATTGGAAGCAAGGGAGTGGCATAACCTTGCTATACAGCCGAGTACAGAAGATCTTCTCCATGCAATTCGCTCGATGGGAGCCATGAAAGCGCATGGGAAGGACGGGCTAAACCCGCTCTTTTTCCAACGGTGTTGGGACACCATCGGGCCATCTGTGACGGACCTCCTCAAGAGATGCTGGGATCAGCCGGGCCTCATCCGGGACATCAATGCTACTGTTTTGGTACTGATCCCGAAGGTAACGACCCCGACGACAATCGAGTAGTTCCGGCCTATTAGCCTGTGCAATGTGGCCTACAAAGTGCTGACTAAGAATATTGCGGAAAAGCTGAAACCGCTGATGCCTCAGTTAGTCCATGACACTCAGACGAGTTTCATTCCGGGCAGGCATATAACGGATAACATATGTATCCTCCAGGAAGTTGTACACTCTATGCGAGCGAAGAAGGGTAGGAAGGGATGGATGGTTCTCAAAGTTGATCTGGCAAAGGCGTACGACAAGATCCGATGGGAATTCGTACGAGACACACTGGAGGCGACAGGGGCCCCTGCGAAGCTGGTAGAGGTGACTATGGCATGCATTACGTCCACCACCATGCAGATACAGTGGAATGGGGGCTTAACCGATCAGTTTTCACCCTCAAGAGGCTTAAGACAGGGATGCCCTCTCTCCCCCTATCTTTTTACTCTTTGTATGGAACGTTTGAGTCATCTTATTAATGAGTCTGTAAGGGATGGGTCTTGGCAGCCGATTAAGCTGACTAGTGATGGACCTGCCCTCTCACACTTGTTTTTTGCAGATGACTTAATCTTATTCGGAGAAGCGTCGTCACAGCAATCCCAGGCCATCCTCCAGTGCTTCAATGTATTTGGGGCAGCCTCGGGTCAACGTGTAAGCAAACCAAAGTCCCGGGTTTTCTTCTCAAGTAACGTGACACCGGAGAGAAGAGTGGCCTTGAGTGGCGAGCTGGGGATTCCGCAAACGGCAAACCTCGGGCGCTATTTGGGAGTACCGGTCATCCATGACAGAGTTTCCAAGGCGACATATATTGAGCTGATAGACAGAATTGATAGAAGGCTTGCGGGGTGGAAAGCGGAGACAATGAGCCTGGCTGCGCGCATTACACTAGCATAATCGGTCCTCTCTTCGCTTCCCTCGTACACCATGCATACCTCTTTTCTTCCGGCTAGGTCCGCGAGTATATTGACAAGAAAGTGAAAGCATTCATCTGGGGAAGCACGGAGGGGGGAAGAAAACCTCACCTGGTGGATTGGGACACAGTCTGTCGACCCAAAGACGAGGGGGGCCTGGGCATGCGGTCGGCGACCAGAACGAATGAGGCATACATGATGAAGATAGCCTGGAGACTTATTACTAAACCGGAGGATCTATGGGCGCGGGGAATCCTGAATAAGTACATGCGCTCGACTGAGGAAGGGCTCCTACCGCGGAGGACAGGAAGACTATCGAATCTATGGCGGGGGGTACTGCGAGTGTGGCACAGAATAGAGGAGGCTTCGGTGTGGAACATCCGCAATGGACGTACAGCCAGATTCTGGTCAGACCGTTGGCTGAATGACGGGGAACCTTTGGCTACATATGCTCAAGCTGTCCCGGAGTCAGCAAGGGACCTCCCAGTGGCGGACTTCGTGCTCAACGGGGATTGGAATCGTGATTATATTCTCCATTTTTTACCTGCTGTTGTGGCTTCGCAGGTGTTACTCTACCCAGTACCGATGGAAACAGAGGAGGATGTACGATGCTGGCGGTTCTCACCGGACGGAAGATTCACATTCAAGTCAGCTTATGAGATGACGGGAGAGGAGGACCAAAGCAACCTACACCGACACCCTAAATGGCGCACGACGTGGAGGATCCCACCGATGCAAAGGATGAGGTCATTTATGTGGTTGGCCAACCACAGCCGACTACTCAACAACGCGGAGCGGAAAAGAAGACACCTCACGGCGAATGACGAGTGCAAGATTTGCGGCGGAGGTCCTGAAACCACGTTACACGTTCTCCGGGACTGCCCATACGCAAGGGAAGTCTGGGCAGGGTTGCTTCAAGAGGAACCAGACAAAGATTTTTTCGAACCCAGTCTCGACCGCTGGATTTTGCATTACACTTCGGGGCGTGGTCACTCAATTGACAGCACTCTCTTCACGTGCATGTGCTGGCTGCTGTGGAAAAATCGGAATAACTTCTGCTTCCAAGGTAAGTTGGACTCCTGGGCTCATATTCAGGCTAGCTCGGCGCGCATTCGGCACCAAATCATGAAAGCCGCGGAGATTGAGAGAGAGGTAATCGGAGCCGGGGTACTCCGAGCGCCTGCGCTGATCCAATGGCAGACACCGCCTCGAGGGTGGGCTTGCCTCAACACTGACGGATCGGTGCTACACGCTCCAGCAAGCACGGCGGCCGGGGGAGTCGTCAGGAGGGACGATGGTCACTTCATCGCTGCGTTCTCCATGAACCTTGGGGGGGTTCCATCACAAGCGCCGAGCTAGCAGGAATTGTGCACGGGTTACAGCTGACCTGGGAAGCAGGAATTAGGAAGGTAGTTCTGTAGACAGATTCAACCACGGCTTTGAAGCTCATAGAGACAGCTACGCCATATCACTCAAACTACGCATCGGTGGCTGAAATTAGGCGTTGGCTTAGTCGAGACTGGCAGGTTCAAATTCACCATGTTTTTAGAGAGGCTAATGTGGTTGCTGATCACCTAGCTAATTCGGGGCATATGTTGCCGATTGGTTTGCATAGAGTTACAGCGCCTGATAGTACGCTAGCATATTGGCTGTACCATGACTGTATTGGGGTCCAAACACTCCGGTCTATTCCAGTATAAAGGTTGGGACGCCCTTTAAGCGTTCCAGGATTCTCCCCAAAAAAATGTCTTATTATTTAATTTAATCTCATTTACGGGCTGTTTAAAAGTTTATTTATTCAACATGTATCACAATACATGGCTAATTTAGACATTTCGGGTCTTAGTTAACATAGAATGTTAAGTTGTTAACAAAAGGGGCTTATTTGTTATCGACCCATAGTACAGGGG